TCCCTCTAAATGCAAGTTGTTGCTTCAGGACTGGTCTGCGTCAACACCTGAACTAAGGATAGGGAGTGAAGTAGTCGAACGCGTTGACAACTTCACTTATCTTGGAAGTCTGATCAGCCCTAATGGGTTGGTGTCTGACGAAATCTCAGCACGGATTCGAAAAGCTCGTTTGGCTTTTGCCAACTTACGTCACCTTGGCGGAGGCGAGATATCCGTCTATCAATAAAAGGACGAGTATACTGCGCGGCAGTCCGTTCTGTTTTACTTTACGGCAGCGAAACATGGCCCTTAAGAGTAGAAGACACTCGTAAGCTACTAGTATTTGACCACAGATGCCTTAGAAATATTGCTGGCGTCTGCTGGGATCACCGGGTAAGTAATAGTGAGGTTAGACGCAGGGTATTAGGGAATGATGGTAAATCAGTTGATGAGGTTATGAATCTTCATCGACTGAGATGGTTGGGCCACGTTTTACGAATGCCTGAACACCGATTACCACGACGTGCAATGCTAACCGGTGTTCGGGATGGTTGGAAGAAAGTTAGGGACGGCCGAACCAAAACGTGGCATCAGTGATTGAAGTCACTAACTTTTAGTCTTAGTCATGTTGGTCATTGCAGACTACTTGGTTGGGGTCCGCGTGATTATCTTAACCAATGGTTGGAGACTCTTGGTGACATGGCTCAAAATGGATCACAATGGCGTGTGTGTATACACTCTCTATCTTCCCTTAAAATAAGAGATTAAAATCGCTTCATATCTTTCTTTCTACGAACTAATTCTTTCTTCCTGTACTATATCCTTATATGCAATCTTTCTTTATATATTACCACCTCTGAATTAACTACTTTTATGAATCCGGTGTCCACCTTGTTGTGTTAATGAGGTATGGCAACTTGGACCGATGCATATATGTGCCTGGTCCTACGTTGTAGCTGACTGACAGACTGAATTGTTAAATACTATACTAGAAAATCTAAATACATAAAATGATGAATTTCATGATCAATGAATGACTAACATTTAGGAATACTGATTATAACCAATAGGAAATACTGAGAAAGGCCGACTATTCACTAAATCATACGGTATTGTGTAATAGAGAACAACGAACGATAACTTATCACATACCAATTAAATATAGATTTGAATCTGGTGCAATTACTTCGATTTAGATAACTGAATACTTTTATAAATATGACTCAGAATTGCGTAAAACGAATTTGAGGTTAGTTTAGAGATTGTATGAATTAACCGTTTACAAATGATAAGACAGAAAAGATTACAATGACTAGCGCATCGTTCGTAAGCCTTTGTCATTTTAATAACTATACTTCAGTAAGAAACTATACTGATAACATATATAAATGAACTCATTTTTGAAGAGCTCTGTTCTATGAGTTTCTATTACTACAGATTATCTTGACTGTCTTCAATGTTAATAGCGCAGTAAAATCACTAAGTTTGATATTATAAAATATGAGATCGGTAGTCTGATACATGTACTCAGTTGATGAAGAACATTACTTAAATAAATTGTCGATGAAGAGATCTACATAAAATTGCTAGTGAATTGAAGATTGGGTTATTTTTGTAAGAACAATAGGTTTTACCACTTATCGTGTCTCATTCCAAAACAAAAAGCAGAAAAATTGGATGGTTGATGCCTTTTAATGGCTACAACGATAACGACACTCACAAAAATAAATTGAACATTGACACAACGATCAAATAGTTAAACTATAGGCTTATTAAACAGTATTTATAGCCCAATATAGATTTGAAGGAACCCGCATAACATAAAACAAATCGGAGAATTTCTTCCAATGAATCATTTATTTGTTAGGTAAATACTTTATATTTACTCTCTAAATTAGACAAATTATTACTTCATCACGTCTCTTTCATAACTAATAAAGTTAATCAAAAAGCCTAATAAAAGTCGGATATCACAAAACTGTTCGTTCACTTAAGAAAAAAACAATATCCATTTTATAATGCATTTCATTAAACATTTCTTCATTACATCATAACACGAGAATAGAAGTTGCGTGGAAGGTAAATGTTAATTTCTATCCATATTAACAATACGTTATGAGATTTTCTAACAGTAATGTGGTTTTAAATACCCGGACCACATGGTGTTCGTTGAGTTTCTATTATTAAAAAAACATCTCTTTATGTTTCCATATAATGGAGACTTGGAATTTATCTTCAATAAAAACTTTCCATCATTAGTCATTCTGAAAATCGCCTGTTAAAGACAACTACAACTTATGGATGACCTTTAAGCGACCCGAAAGTGACCTTCAGAATGTCCACTAACTAACCAGGACTAAATGAGTGTTATAAACTGGTGTGAATAATTAGGATTATGAAATACAGTTGATGATTAGAGTTAGGAATCGAATTTAAGGTTTTAATCACGAACTGACATCAGCTAAACTGCTCATACGATATTTAGCCAAATGGATGAATGAGATTGGCTCCAAAAATCCAAGACATATTATTCTAAAACTGATTGGATAGTCCATAAATTATAGTCACGCCAAGCAGATATTAATTAAATTTGGAGCTCATGTACAAACGACATTAACAAGATAACAGATAAATTAAAAAATATGAAAAAAAGATGGAATGGGATTAAGAAAAAAGTTATAACACATTGCCAGCAATGATTAATCTCATGTTTGAAAAAAAACCCGTGTAGAATCGTGACAATAACTTAAGAAATGACTGATTATCGACCATTACAAATAATGAATCATTTTCTCACACTATCTGATGTAACTTGATATGGATAGGAACAATTACACCTAGTTGAACAGTTATTGTGGTGAGCACGACATTTGGTGATGAAAGTAAACCTGAAACTAGTTTAGCAACTGCGCCATGTAGCACAGTCAATATAGTGTTAAATCGATCAACAGAAAATTGTTGATTAGGGAGGCCTAGACAATTCCTCAACTTTGAACTATATTAATTATCCACATTTATTTTATTCTCGATACTGAATGCATATAATGTTATCGGTTTTATGTATTAATGATAAGGCGGCAGTCATATTTTATATAAGCTTAATCTCTGCCTCAAACAAATAAAAGACAAAGGCAGACAATAAAGGTCACAGGTAAAGAGACTTAGGGTCAACTATTCATGTAAATATGCGTAAAATACAAACATAAAAAATTTGTCATCTCAACTGCAAGTTAAATTATGTATCCTTATATTCAACACGATGAACTGTAACGTCTGTTAAGTTTTACACGTCTCTTATAACAGACAATTTTGTGACAAAGAATAGAAAAATCTACAATTGGAATGTCCTACAAATTTTATCAGAGTTTAATAAAAACAAAAAGACGATTTGTTTTTATTTATCGCGAAATTCGAACTATTCCAGGTAATTCAGATTTAGTCGGTTCTTTAATGTAGACACAGGCTGATAGTGGTAAGGATTTAAACTAAGACAACTAGAAAAACACTATTAGTGGGATAGAATGAAGGCGAAGATTTTTTGGTAGTCAAGTTCTGTCCATAACATAAAATTGACAGAATATTTTGTAGGAGTAAATTACACATTTTCCTTGATTAAATAACTATCCATGTATTTTGGTGGGACAAAACAGATGTGTTTGATAAATACAAACGTTTACCAAATTCCAAAGACAGAACATCAAAGTGATGGATCACAACAAAATACAGAATCCATTATTATTTCTGTGGAGAATGAAATGACCAACTCACTAATGTAATCTGTTCAGATTACATCAAAATCATAGTGACGGTCAAATATTGAGCACAACGGTTGTTTGATACTTGAAGCATTCTGTTTCCAACCAGTAAATTACAGCTGACAATTCCGCTCGACCCTACTTAGAGTTGAGCTGGATAATATCACTAGATCTTAATGCATATGACTTGGAATCTATAATGGATAAAGGAGTCGAAAAAGTAGCTATTAGATAATGTATACAAGCTATCTCTAAAACAACCAGATTGATCATACGATATACTATCGCAAACTAAAACCATGGACAAATATTGTCACCTGTAAGTTTTCATTATTAGGTAAGACTTACAGATGCTAACTGTCAACCCACTAAATTAAGGAAAATTATTTTCCGTAAAACTTATGCTTAAGTATAAAAGTGAAAAAGAAATCTCAAGTTGTCTAAAAAATAATGCAACGAAAATGTTGCTAAGTAATGACATAAAATCAATCAATTATCATCAGATAAATAACTTTGACAACTGAAAAAATAGTTAATTTTTGAAGACAAAACATGAAATAAAGTAAGTAGAAAAATAATGACAGGAAACTGAACACAACCTTTATACGGTAACGTTGGAAAAAAATGGTATACATATCATCATACCGATAATTTTTGATATCATGAAAAAATGGTTTACATATACATATAAATTCATAATAATCATCTTTCATTTAATCATAAATATTACAGAACTTATTAACTTTTGTAGATCTGGAAGTAAAGCGAAAATCGAACAGGAAGAAAGAAAATAATAATACAAGTCAAACTGAAGTTTGATTATATAAATAGAAGGACACATATCAGGCGATAATAAACTTTCTTAAGATCAATGAGACGACAAAAAACAACTGAATTAATATTTATACAGTGTATCATCATAACGAAAAACAACGTATAGAACAGAGATTACCAGTTATAAAAACTGATAACGACAAAATTTGGAGTAAGGAGCTTCAAGGTTTCTACATCAGTATGACTGACCAGTACACAACTATATAAGATAATCAGAAGTTAAAATAAACTCAGGTTTTCGGCGTCTTCAGCGGTACCGTCAAGATTAAAACATGATTCAGAAAAATTGGTAATCACGTAAAAAAATTTAAAGTACGACGAAAATGCAGTGACAGACAAATTGATGATCCAGAAAACTTTTATCAGCACCAAAGAAGTAAGCATATATGGATAGATATTTGTTCTAGTTAAAGGTACATTTTAATAACTCACCTATAGATTCTGCCAATCGGAGAGTTACGAACGGACAATTGACCTAGTTTGAGTAGATCTGGACCAGCAAAGTGTTCTTCAACTTCCACATACAAACCATCTACAGGATCTATAACTAAGGTTTGAGATTCTTGAACAGAAGTTGAACAGCGTACAAAAATTGTAACATTTGAACGACTAACGTGAGCTATTGGTTTATGATTATCCCAAGCTTCAACATGTAGAAAAAAGACTTGATCATTTAATGAACATGGTGAATACGAGACATTAGTTAATGAAAGAGTGGAATTCGATGCTACACGTAAAATACCATCATTTTCATCAAGAGTAAAATGCTCAGCGCCATCTCCACCGACAAGGTAATAATGAACCTAATTTTCATTTAAAATAAATAGAGCAAAAAATGATAAAATTCACACAGCATTAAAAAGTGATGAAATATAATGATTAAATTTGTTGAGTTTCAAAAGAAAATTTATTAAGTTTTAACACTACAAAATCCATAAATCACCTGTCCGGAAGTGAACAACATAAATCATTTGTCATTAGTCTTTATTATTTGTTTAAAAAAGAAACTACTACTGAAATTTAATTTTGAATAAAAAGCTTTAATCAAGTTTTAGATATTGAATTACCAATTAACTATATGAAGAGTTTACAAGTATGTATTATTTATCCAATGAATTAATGTTGTAATACTACTGGTTTAAGTAGATTGTTAAACGTAATATCTTGTTGAAATGTAATAAACATCTTTGGTTCCGAATCAATAATAGTCAGTAAAAACTGAGATATCGGTTATATATTCCATGGTGGTCTAGCTTCAATTGACTCAGGATTTCAGCTAGTATATATTGCGAGTCAATAAGAGGGGAAAAGATTATGGATATTTATTAACTCCCAAGTATAAACGAAATATTTAAGTTAGTTGGAAGAATATTCGAATATAAATAGTGGAACAACGATTATGCACAGTTGTGAGTCGTTTCGGACAAAAGTAACGAGAGGTTAAAAACTGTGACAATAACGAAATGAAGTGGAGATGAATGCTAACCTCAACTATTAAACTTTATATGGGATCGTTTAGTTAGAAAATACTAAGAAAAATATGTAGAGGTTTTAAAAATAATTGCGTAAAGAAATTATATTAATGTCTTTAGTTTCTTTTAAATCGAATCCACTTTGTACACTTCCCATCTATAATTATAAAACATTTTGCTGAAATTGTAATGGAATGAATGTATTTCCTTCAATGATAACCGCTTTAAAGAAACTGCGGTTCGTAGTTAACTTTTTCATTAACGCTCCCGACATTTCATCATTTTGCAAGTAACTATGTTGTCATTTATCCATTTAAACACATAAACACCGACACAAAGGTGTACTAAAATGAATATGCAACACAATAAAAATGAGATTGTGAAGAGCTAGAGGGGAAAAAGTTGAGTATAGTAAATAAAAAAAACAATGAATGAATGAAAATCAGTGAATAACAGTAAAAGTAATGGGAGAAGCAGTTCAATAAACATTCTTGAAAGACATGGCTCAAAATCGTTTGCAATGGAGCAGGTTCATCAACTCATGTGTTCTCCCAAATTCTAATCTTTTGAATTCTTCATGTCCCTTGTTTTCTCTTCCAAAATTTATTTCACTGAATTATACTCCTTGAATAACATCTTCAAACCCTAATCTTTCAAATTACTGCTTATACTTTTACCGCCTCTACTACTATGGGATTAGAATCGACAAATGCATCTCTGTGCTAATGTGATATGACAACTTGAACTGATGTACGGACGTATAAACGATTTTTTTTCAGTTATAGAAGTTCATCTCACTTCTGTGATTAAAATTTTAGAAAATACAAATGACCGCCACTAGGTTTTATTTGGAGCCATTTCTGATAACGTCTCAAGCCACTGTGCTGAACAGCCTTTAGAACCCCAGCCAGAGTCGACAGATGAAAGTCCTGTATAGTCTTGTTTCGTAACACGGAGTAGTGTTGTGTTGGTACGTGAAAAATGGTACTAATTAACAACCAACAAATAAATTTAAGCACATTATACATTGAAAACCACTTACAGAGTCATTCAGATCTGGATCTTCTGCCGTTAATTGTAAAACCGATTCGGTTGGATAAGTTGGTAAAAATAGTGTAGATCTTAAGTAAAATGAATCTGTAAAAATCGGAGGACTATCGTTTACATCTGTAACTTCAACAAAAATTCTTATTAATCGGTCAGCTGTAAGACTAGGTGTCCCATTATCTGATATTTCAATCATAAGATTGTAATGTCCTATTGATTCGCGATCTAACGATGCATGATCAGCAAGACGTAGTACTCCAGTTGAACTGTCCACAATGAAAGGCTGACGATTCTGATCTTCCACTTGTGATCCGACAAAATTATATACAATCTTCGCACTCATACCCACATCATAATCAATGGCTTTTATAGTGAGTGGACTGATATAGTTTAAATCACAAGCAACCAAATGATCTTCTAAACAATGACCCACAATCATAGTACCAGCTGGTGAATTCTCAGTAATCCAACCAGTCATACGACTTGGCCCAATGACTTTTGGTGGATTATCATTTACATCGAGAATGCGTATCTAATATGATAAAAGCAAGAAAAAATGCACAAAAAGCCTTTTCTTTAGTCTCATTTTATAGAGAATAAAAAAACATATGCCAAAAATTGTACTACTGAAACAAATTGTAATTTCAACAATAAATAAAAAATTTTCATTGGCGGAAAACTAAGACAGTAGAAAAGAACAGTTGTTAAAAAAGTGATATATCTGTATATATTTATCGAAATCAATATTTTTACATGGACAGAATAACTTCGCTGTATTGTATCCTAGTCTTCTATACGTGGCGAATTAGTCATTAAAATAATTTACCTATATTTGAGGAACAAAATTAAATATGAAGGAGATGAAAATTAGAGGTATTCTTGTAGTATCAATGAACCAAACGATAAACGACAAAATTCACAATCCACTATTCTTAACAACAGTCAATCTCGACGGGTGATGTTTGGTGGGGTAGAAGCAGACTGGAAGAAAGCCAGGATTGCCCAAGACAAGATATGATATCAATCCATGAAGTCCGTGACTGTAGGTTTGACCCTTACTGGTAAATGAATATTATCTGGTTGCGGCCCATGCAATAACAGCTATCAGTGTATATGGACTTCGGGTTCAATGGCTCATAATCCCTTAAAATGCAGTAGATGTAGTCATCCCTTATCTTCTTCGCAATCTTGAATTCCAGTATTCTTTCCTACATACTTTTCTATTTTACCCTTTCGAATCATATTCCCAATATTCCGTCTTTCACGTTATCATTGTCACTATATTGTCTCAATAACCTTTTGATTACAAAAAAAAGTTATTAGTAGGACGGAATTTCTTTTTGGTAGTTTTAATTATTTGCCTGAAGAAACAGGAACAATAATAATGGATGGAAATCAGTGAGAGACTTGGAAGAGAAACAGCGTTTTTCGAAAGAATATTTTTCTACATGTGTGTATCTGGTTAGATACATTGAAATCAACGGGAAAAAAATGAAATGCAAAAGAGTAACAGCTGTAAGGGAAAAATGTTATAGAAAAAAATTAATTGTTGAAATCACACATCCACACACAGATGAACACAATACAAAAAATATTTTTGCACAAATAATTCGGTAATTTTAGAAATAATCACTTTTTGAATGTGGTATGAACTTCGGTTATTGATTATCGAAATGTTTTAAATACTTAATATTATTATTTTAAACTTAAAAGGGTTGAAACAGGATTTATAAAAGGGTAAATGAATTCGGGAATGGGTAGGGTATTAGTACAATAAAATGAAGTATGCTGAAATTAATCATATTGTGTAAGGGCTAGAGACAATACTTATTTACTTGAACGGATTTTAAACGACCGGTTAAGTGATTCAATAATAATCCAATCAATTGACTCATTCATCAGTAGACTCAAGAGTAAGACACTTGAAGTTAAATGACTTATGGGGCGTCTAAAGTACTTTTTATGTTATACTTTGTGAGACTTTTAAGTAATCCAGGACTGAAACTTTTTCTAATCATACAAGGATGTATGTAGTCAGATTACTCATATCTCAAGTTCAATACCGACAAGTACACAAACGCAGAAACTAATAGTTATCCAATGCCAAAAATTCAGAAAACAAATATAATATTACAATAAATACTCGTATATTACCTGTACAGTCTTTTCAGTCGTGTAAACAAGAAAGATATGGATATGTGAATACCTAAATTATTGGACAGAACAATTTTCATTTGTATAATGATTCATTAGGTGTTTTGAGACTTTACAATTTTGTATCGACAAAAATAAACTTGTGAATCAATTCGAATTCTATTTTCACAATATCATTGTAACAGTTAAAATTTTAAAATATTCACAGTTAACATAGACTTAAAGTAATAAATTCGAAATTAACTCAACTTCTCGAATGCATACAAGTTTATCAACAAGGCTGAGAGAATGAATGAAATTGAAGCACAAGTTTTGAATGTAAACTGTAGAAATAAGAATTATTCAGTTTGAAAAGAATCTGTATATTATTGGGAGTTTACCACAAATAAGAATATTATCTAAGTCCTAAGTATATACCGAAGAAATAAATATATTCATCGGTCTGTTATTGACGACTACCATTCTATATTATATCCTCAATAATATGAAACTGTCGTGTCCTACATCAGTTATATAACTTCTCATCACTGAGCCGGAGGTTTGCAAACACTACAGACTTATTGAATAATTCGATACTTCTATAATATTCATAAATTCAATACATTTTTTGTAATCTATATTCTTCCACGGGGAATATCTCTACATAGTAGTTAAGCTTAAACAATCTGGTTATTGAACAATGACGATATATATTTACAAGCCATCAAATGTCGGCAGTATCAATGGAGAAAAACAACAACACTATACAAAACCAGATTTACAATAAATAATTGAAAACAAACACCGGACGAGCTATATATCTAAACAAAAACAAGAACTAGTATCTACGATTATTATTTATTTCGATAACAGATTCCACATATTTTCACACTATATATATAAGGCGGCTAAAATCCACCTTGACTTTGATTACTTAACCGAAAGCTACTAATTGTTTTATTATATAGGTGGTATTTTTATTTAGTTAGCTGAATAATTTATAAGAGAACTTATGCCAATTTATCATCAGTATGAGTTATTAGTGTGTGAGAGAGTTAACTTAACACTATTTCATATAAAGGTTATTGAAATATGTGTTTAGTGCAGTTTTTATAGATGAAAAGAAAAAGAATAAAAAGTCTGGTCAATACTAGTAAAAAGATAATGTAGTTACTTGAACAAACTTTGGTATGTAAGCTGGTAAAACAGTATGAGAAAGTACACAATGGGATAGTACTCATGTAACATATAATATAACAAGTAATAGTAATATTTTGTAAGCTGTCTACTTTAAGGTGAGATGTTCAATAACAGGAACTACAAAATTAAACATTTGTGAACACGGTGAACCATGAGAGAATATTTTTTGGCGATTATTTATGCATTTGGATATTATACATTAAAAAAGTTTACAATAGCAGGCAGAAGAATGATTGAGGAAATATGTCTTGTTTTATGTGCGACGCCACAGATGAACATACTTGTTATGTCCTATAGCTCGTTAAATGTTGCATGACAAAGCCAGTAATCAGAATACTGACTTATATGACCTTGTCCCTGTGGTAGATTAATGACATGCCAATCAGCACAAGCAGCCTAGAGTTAATTATGAGTCCGCCTAGTTCAGAACATAAATATCAGCCTCCACTATATGGATCGTATATTTAAAACATACATAGTTCATGTAAAAGCAAACTAGACACCATCACAACATAAATTGAAAAATAATAGTTATACAAGATCAAGCCAAAAGTGACTGTAAGTGTATTAGATTTTAACTAATAGAAATAGATTGGGAATAAGTTAAGAATAATTAGTCATATAACAGTAACCAATAGGTCAAATGAAAGCTTATGATTAAAGGTATATATATATATATATATATATATATATATATATATATATATATATATATATATAATTTAGTTACTTAATAGTCATCCAATGAGAATATATGTAATAATAGTTCATAAACATAAGTCCTGCAGTTAACATTCATTTATTCTTCGTTTAGATATAACAATACAACAAACAAGCTATTTCAAGATATTCGTTCAGTCAAACGATCTGTCGAAAAAGACTGATCGAAGTCAGTAATGAATATCAAAAACAGGAAAATACACACCACTAGAGTTTGTGATAACTGTCAGTTTATTAATTGGAAATACTTATATCCTAATATTTCCCACTCAATACCTCATCATGATTTTACGCATTGGGACGTTAAATGATGGTAGTTCGTTAAAGGGTTTATTAGCTGCATTAGTGAATAGGTTTTTGGATAAACCATCAATTTTAAAACTGTCACTCCTCCTTGAAGCCTCCAATAAGTGAATTTCATTATCAACATGATCTTAGTTTGCTTGAAAACTAAATATATTTACATGATTCTTGAATACATTAATAGGAATTATAAGTTAGTTTATTAAAAGTCTACAAAGTCGTGGTGTTAGCATACTATTTCATCAATTAATCGAGTGTTACTGATATAACATAGCTTTTTATATCATATGAGTGCAGTGGGCTTTAAACCTATGATTCAAAGATTGAAAACATCTAACGTCAAAGGATTGAAAATAAGTTTTAAAATGTTTTCAACTAACTTCGGATAGTGTGTATTTATAAACACCCTAAAACAATTTTAAGTAACTTATTCATTACAGTTCTCATTGGTAATGATATTAATGAGTTATCACCTGTATTTTACAGTATTCGATAATCTGATGTCTTCCAATGTCTACTAATGGAACAATAATAATGATAATTATTTTATAGAACAGACGAATAGTAGTTTCCAGTGGAATATAAGAACAATATTTCGTCTCATTTAAGAGAATTACATTTCAACAGTGATGTTCACAGTGATATTCAAACCCAACATGTTATTTACTAGCCTGTTGAGTCTAGATACAAATTAACTTGTCTAGAGGGTATGATGTTTGTATTATTATTAGGAAAAAAATTTAACTATCGATTCGTTATTGTTCATTGAATTTTGATCATTATTTTTATTAGTACTTGAAACCCTCTTTAATAATGATTATAAAAATAATCATCATTATTATTATCAATAGAAATTTCAAGTAGTAAGTACTCAAAAAAAATTATAAGAATAGAATAATAGAAATAAAAATAATCTAGATTTGTCTATTTAATTTAAATCTACTTTTCTCTATTCAACTTCTACTCTCATTTGTCCATGTCCGTTGCTCAATACCAATAAAAAAAATTTTTCATTTAAATACTCTGAATTTCTTTTACCCCTAAAATTCTCATAAATCTTCCATTTATATATTTATAAATAATAGAAATTAAGAGGAAATTATGAATTATGGCATGGATTATGATAGTTATGATAAGCCTAAAAATTAATTGAAAGATGAAATAAACATTATTATTATTATTATTATTATTATTATTATTATTATTATTATTCATAACTAACTGTTGCCAACAATTAGCAATTCGATAGAGCAAAATAAATGCATGACAAGAAAGTTGAAAAATCCTAAGAATTTAAAAATGATTTTATTTTCGATAAAAAACAGAAATCCTAGTATTTGCAAATAGGCAGAAATGAATAAAAATTATGCAGCAACACAATACAACAAAAAGAGAGTAGAAGACGAAAATATTGAATTGATGAGAAATTAAAATGATAAATTTATAAATGGGTCGTATATATATATATCCATTTGCGGACAGTGAGTTTGCAACACCTTATAGATCAGAGGTAATATTCAATGAACTATGTAGATTAACTTCATATTCAACTCTCCGAATTCATTAGTTAAGGCTAAATAGTCGAAAATTCAACATGAGAAGTTTCTTTTCATACGCATTACTTCTCAATATAATTGCCAATAAGTAACAAAATGGTAAGCATAAACAAGTGTACGATAGTTAACAGTAATCATTTTTTAAACTATACACCAGGTGATGTTATCCTACACCATAAATATATAAGTAAACAATAATATTATATATGCCAATACGAATTAACTCATTACTTCCCACCCAAAAATGTTATGACTAACGTAAACAGCTACTATGAAATTATAATAATAAGAGGGGAGAAATACCAACATACTAAAGGTAAATTGTATGGAACACACAAGAAACATTTGTCATATATTGTATGCCTACCTTTATGTCTATCACTATGAAATGTATCATTATGTATATATTCATGTTTAAGTATGTTCTAAAACAAACAAACAAGTCATTGCTGTTTAGTTACAATTTTGTTTCTTATTCACTCTTTTTAATAATTTCATCGCTGACAAGACAGTATGAAATCAGTCATTTTGTGATATATATATATATATATATATATATATATATATATATATATATATATATCAGTGAATTATTGAAATCAATGTCAGCAGAGCACACAGTAAAGGAAACACAGAATCTTCCAACTTTTTTATTGACGTGAAAATATTTTCGAATCACTGTATATAAAAATCCTTATTATTATTATAATTATTTGATTGAGTTAAATGCAGTTTTCTATTAGAAAACTATTTGATTTGTAAATGAAACATAAAAACAAATTGTCCAGAAAAAGAGTAAAACGAAATGAAATAATAAATTGACGAAAAAATAGTAGGAATTGTTGATGAATTAAACAGAGGTTGGAAAGAAAAGACAAGCAAACAAGAACTTCCACTCATCAGGTTGGAAAGTTCACAGAAAATAGTGTTTTATATGATGACCAATAAATATTATTATTGCTATTAGTATTATGATTCAAATCTGTTTACATTCTAAAGAACGAATTCTATTCTTAGCTATTTACTTTCAAACTGACAACATATAGGTTTAATCCCCTTGATAATTTAGAATGTCAGAAGATTAAAAGAAAAAAACCATGATAACAATAACAATAATAAAAGAATAAACAATTAATCATTTTCATTACTATCATGCTTACATATTTAAAAAAACACAATAAAACCCGTGTGATTTAAGATTCTCAATTCAGACAGTCAGTCGAAATTTTGATTGGTGTGCATTTTGTTATTCACTGAGGATATTGTCCAGAGCGCAAATGAAAACTTGGTACTGATCAACTTGAGTTACCTGTGCTCGAGAGTTGATCAACTTAAACCAGTACCTATCGCTTTAAACATTAACGCGTTATCTAAATCAGCTATTGAGTTTAAATGGCCAGTAACTTGTTCGATCGGCATAGTATTCATTAGTATTAATAATAAAGGTTTGATATTTCGAACTAGACTTGATTAACAACCGTTAACATATGGTTCCTTAACCGTCAGTCATGTGATGATATTATCTGCGCTAACAACTTGATTAAATTTTTTGGATTGAATGATAATCGGTGATCATAAAACACAAACCCTTAACAATAAAAAAGCCACAGTAACTTTTGGAAATTTGTTATAAACATTGAGGTAGTGTACAAATAAAAACTCACTTGAATTATCAAACGATCATAGAACATACTGCGAATACCACCAGTGCCGACGACTTCCACAACAAGACGATGAAAATCACCATGTGTTTCTCTGTCTAACTGAACCAATGTGACCAACAGACCAGTATCAACAATTACTCCAAACAAATTTATAGGAACATTTGAATTTGTACGATGCTCATACAATAAATTCATTGGCTCAGCCATGACTAATCGAAATGCAATAAAACCAGGTATAGCAGAATCCGAAGTCAATTGGCGTATTAATGGTGCCAAAACTGTATTTGGTGGAACATTTTCATGAACAGTTAAATAAAGTACATCATCGGACGCAAAACGTGGTGCTGGTGCGTCAATACCACCGGGGCCAGGAACGATGTGTATTTTAACTTGTGTATAATTAGATTTCGATACGGGAGTCCCATTGTCACTTGCAGATACAACTAGATAATGTGTTCGTACAAACAGTTTTGAGTTAAGTCCCGGTACTAACTCCCCAGTATTTGAGTAAGAATGACTAGGAAGTAGATGTTTCACTAAAGTTATACATCCGGTTTTTGGTTCAATAGCAAAGAAATCAGAAGTATCACCTATAAAAAGACAGAAATAAATCATACAGTTAGGCATCAAGTTATTAGGAGTTCTCAACTTTCACATGAATCACATCAATAAACAATCAGTAAACTAAGGATAACTACGAGTCATAAAACAAGTGAAATGTATCATAATTATGGTTGATTTGGTAGATACATGAAAAACCAAGGTCAATGTAATTAATAACCTGAAGTCTGTTAATTTCAACTCTAACACTTTCCAAAATCATTCACTAATAAATCAATAAAACTGACCATACTTACATATATATCAGATTTTATAAATTGATGGTGATAATATCCTGTAAATGATTAATTTTGTGGTGTTTGGAATTTTCGATTTATAGAAACATGAATTAACTATGATATCCACATTAAGTGATGGTTTACAGACTAAAAGATGTTAGGTATTTCCATGCATAAAGACTTTGAATAATGACAAATTCACCAATAAGAAGTGAAATCTACAGAAAACTTAACATTTAAGACTTCAGCATTTTAGGGTTGCAATTACGGACAGCTATTTCAAGTCATTGGAAACATTTACTCCTCATAAAACAGACATCATGGAAGTAAATGTAGTGAAATGATATTGTTGGCATAGGTTGAATAATACTTTGAGAAGGCTAATTCATTTGATGTTATTAAATCACAAAAACTAAAAATGCAATCATTAATAAAACGATGATCTATACATACGTGTAATTAGTTAGGATATGTTTGTTACTATGACCATTTAAAAACCGATATCTGGAAAACAAATTTACCATAAACTAACAATAAACATGTGTTTACCAAAATTAAATAATCACAAAAATGAATATTCTAGTAAGAATAATAGCCTCTTAGAGAAAATATATAAATATTTAGGGAACAATAATAGATATATGAGATATTAAAACCAATGTTCACCTTTAACAATGTTGTATACAATTTGTCCATTATCACTAGAATCTGGATCAAATGCTGTGACACAACCAATTGAACTACCGACAGGACTATCACCTGATACATAAAAAGTGAAACTTCCTAAACGAGACATTGCATCACTATCTAATACGTTTATATTATTAGTGATTAAATTTGAAGGTGTATATAAACCAAGAAACTGTGGAGCATGTTCATTCGCATCTAATATATGTACATAGATGGTTGCGTGAGATGAGTACAATGACATTCCTGAATATCGTACTGCAGCCAATAGGTAATGATGCTGAATCATTTCATAATCCAAAAGTCCGCTGACAAGTAGTTCACCTAAAATAAAAAACAATGGATAGGGTTTTACAAAAAGTAGTCATTTGTGGGGATCAATGATTGGTGAATGTTTTTTGAGGAAAGTTATTTGTTTGAAACAATTAACCTAAAACACTCAAAGTGAAATATGCATTTTTAAAGAAAGCTGCAACAACAAAATAGCTAACTATAAATGTCATGAATATGTAATGATAGGGAAGAAATACTTCCTAAATAAGCACATCACCTGTTAATCAAGTGTAGTTTCATAAATTAATCCGTCTAAATTAGAATAGATGAAGACTTAAACCTTCGAACCTGCAATGGCTTAAACTAAAAATGGTAGTAAATAAGTATTGATCAAGAATAATGACTATCGATTATAATCAAAATATATCATTTATGTTATATGAGACTGCTGATTATAACTAACCGAGACATAAATAATTGAAATTATTCCCATAGAGGATTGAATACAATAGTCATTTCTTGACATGTTAAAACCCTGACTACTAAAGTATTCATTATTCTTAAAACATTTTTATTTGGTTACACTGATTTGCATAAGAAAACTGAGGATAGTTTTTGACACAAGATCAGTGAATAATAAATACTCTTAGTAAATTTAAGAACTTATTTAGGCAGAAAATCATCCTGTCGAAAACAGTTAATTATTTGCAATAAATGAAGACAATAATCTACTACTTGTAAATACTTAGAAATGTAAATTTATCAAACTACTAATAGTCGTCACGACCAAATAGACGCTTATGTAATAAACTGTTGGTTAAACTTCATACAAGTTTAGTGGCAGCATAGATTTGAACGCAGTATTCAAACAGTTAAAACCCAAGTGTTGGAAGCGACAAAAAACAATTTAACAACTCTTATATAAATTGGACAAAGTTGAACAGTCATTAGTGTAGTAAAGTGATTACTTTCTGAGTGAATAGCATTAGGTCGATTATGCCAGCTTGTTGGTGAGTAAAAACATCCATACACCTTAGTTTTTTCATGACGATATCACTATTCCTAGTACTAAATAGTTTGAAACTAAGAAATAAATCCAACAGCTTCGATAATTTGCTTTTACGCTTTACAGAAATGAGTACATAATGTGCTCTATGTACTCCTCATATTATGAAAAGAGAACAGTTACTTATAAATACTTCAAAATTCTGTATGTCTACGTAATTTTTTATCAAATTCCTTTCGCTACCAAGAAATAAATTATCCAAAGGATAAGAAACATCTGAAAGTGTGATTTCACTATTCTTTTAAAGGGTTTAAAGAAAACAGGTTAAAAGTGAACTAGAATCACTAAAACTTTCACAAGGACTAACGTTTCACCATATGGACAAATTTTAAATCAAATAAGTAATTTTAAAATGGACATTTTGTTAGTTAGCTGAAAATAAACTAAGAAGGAGAGCAATAACAAAACTGAAAGGTCTAATAGTTTATGTATGCAAATATTTTCGTGCATCCTTTAAACACCCGACTCTCAACTATTATGTAGTAGATCGGAACCCAGTTATACTTACAACTATTAAAGCAGCTAGCCTGTAACACAAGGACGAGTAAAACATCAGATACATAATTATTCAACTACATTTATTGCATATTAAATAGTGAGATAAACGAATGACATATAATCTCAATAAAAGTAGACGTTCAAGAACACATTTTCTAAATACTAAGTAGTATTTCAAGTAACATTAGGAGAGAAGGGTTGACATAACCAGCTAGAATTACAAACCTTGGGTATACACAAATACAGAACACAATGTATAGGTGAAAACATAACTCGTCAAACAACTATTCTACTGAACTAACAATCAATTAATCAGTCAATATAATAAAACATAATTTCACTATGGACTTCATCACTTAAACATATACACACATACATATACATTTCCTTATTCCGTTTAAGAAGAATTAAAGAATTGTTTCACATCAAAATTCACAGCAATTATAAATTTATCATTAAACTATAGGCAGCATGTTTGTTTTTGTGTTTTTTAATGCCAATTGTAATAATAATAATAATACAACTATAAAAAGCAATGAAATGGGGTAGTACATGGTGGTATTTGTACACATCCATGTCCATCAGACCACTAAAAATAACATTTCTAAACAATTAACATCAAGGACCGGAATAATAACAACAAAGAATCATAAGTATTCTCTATTAACGATATTATTATTATTGTAATTAGTTTAGGTGAAAACTAATCACGAACAAATCTTCCATCAAAACATCAAACTACAGATTTCTAGTGTTGTCGTGATGAAAATTACTCGAATGATTGAAAAAGGAAGAAAGTTAAAACTCGAAAAACGCAACAAGAACTATAGTTGTTGAAAATTAACATTTTCAATAATAAATAATCACTTATGACTCAGTTTTCATGTAAACATTATATACATAATACGCTATTCAGTTCAAATAAAGTTAATAATTGGATTTCTTTCATAGAAAGTATAGGCTTTTACTACCCACATAATAAATGGATGTTGGATGATCCGCATCAGAATCGATCACAGTGGTAAAGGTGTATCCACTCTTTAGTTTGCTGTATATCTTCAGGTCTAGCATTCCTAAATACATACGTTTTTATTCTTTTCCCCAAATAGTATTTTCAATCTTAGTCTTTGACATTACCACTACTACTATGACCATTTCGATTCCACTGATATTATTTTTGTTACGTTAATCTCGCAACGAAACAGTGTTCAATCACTAACTTTATACACAAAATTAATCTTCTGAACAAGAATGTCTTACAGTTGGTAGTCTAGCTTAAATCGAATCGTGATTTCAACTGTGAAAGTACTACGATTTCCACAAATCCACATACTAAAAACTATAATAGTATACCTTATTTTTATCCGTTGAAGTAAAAGACAACAAATGAATAAACAGAGAAAGTACTCGGACGCAGTCCAATAGAGCAAATTAATATCTATAACTTCGATAGAAAACTGTCTTTAATAACATTACCTGAGTCAAAGTAAATTCCACCAATTTTTCAATCGTATCTAGTTCGAATTCACACAACAGTGAGGTCAGTATGACTAGAAACCGCCTGTAGCTCTTATAGGGTTACTGCCGGTCCCAAGCCCGGATAAAGGAGGAGGGTTGGGCATGGGGTTAGCGTCCACATCCCGTAGAAAACTAACTCGCTAAAAAAACGCTTACCAGAAAAAATAATCCAAACCATTTTAACTCTGCCCTGGGAGTTAGAAGGTCTTCATTTAGAAGAATTATGACGCTTCATGGTGAAAGCCGAGCTCCTTCGGAAGCCACGAGGCCGATGCCCTTTCTAACAACCAGAGCAAAATTTTTTATAGGTACATGGAACGTTCGAACAATGTGGGAAACCGGGAAGACCAGTCAAATAGCAATGGAAATGAGGAGATACAACTTAGCAGTACTGGGAATCAGCGAAACCCACTGGACCCAAGCTGGACAGAAAAGGCTAGCCACGGGAGAGATGCTGCTATACTCCGGTCACGAAGATGACAATGCTGCACACACTCAGGGAGTCGCTCTTATGCTGTCCAAAGTAGCACGAAATGCACTTGTAGGATGGGAATCTCACGGATCCAGAATCATCAAAGCATCATTCAAAACAAAGAAGGAGGGGATCTTAATGAATATTATCCAATGTTATGCACCCACCAATGATAGCAACGACGACATTAAAGATCAATTCTACGAGCGGCTGTAGTCAATCATTGAGAAATGCCCAAGGAAGGACCTAACTATTCTGATGGGAGATCTAAATGCCAAAGTCGGAATAGACAACACCGGATATGAAGATATTATGGGACGACATGGACTGGGAGAAAGGAACGAAAATGGAGAAAGATTTGCAAATCTATGTGCATTCAACAAATTGGTCATAGGAGGCACAATATTTCCACACAAGCGTATACACAAGGCTACATGGATCTCACCGGACCACACTACAGAGAACCAAATAGATCATATTTGCATCAACAAAAAGTTCCGAAGGACAATGGAAGATGTGAGAACCAGGAGAGGTGCTGACGTAGCTTCAGATCACCACCTAGTTGTAGCCAATTTAAAACTGAAGCTAAAAAAGTATTGGACAAGTGGACAAACAGCACTACAAAGGTTCAATACAGCCTTCCTTCGAGATACTGACAAACTCAATGAATTCAAGATAGCTCTCAACAACAGGTTCCAAGCCTTACAAGATCTACTGAAAGAAGAAGAAACTAGTATGGAGGACAACTGGAAAGGCATCAAGGAAGCATTAACTTCAACGTGTCAAGAGGTTCTCGGTCTAAAGAAATACCATCATAAGGAATGGATCTCTACAGAAACACTGGACAAGATCAAAGAAAGGAAGAACAAGAAGGCAGCAATAAACAACAGCCGAACACGAGCAGAGAAAGTCCAAGCACAAGCTGAATACATAGAAGCAAACAAACAAGTGAAGGGGAACATTAGAGCCGACAAGACGAAGTACGTGGAAGAACTAGCAACGATGGCAGAAAAAGCTGCTAGAGAAGGAAATATGAAACAGCTTCACGATACAACGAAGAAACTAGCAGGGAAATACAGTAAACCAGAGAGGCCGGTCAAAGACAAAGAAGGCAAGCCAATCACCGAAATTCAACAACAAGTGCCGATGGACTGGAAAGAAGGACACCTCGTCAAGATTCCAAAGAAAGGAGACCAGAGCAAATGTGAAAACTACAGAGGCATTACACTAATGTCAATACCAGGGAAAGTCTTCAACAGAGTGTTGCTAAAACGGATGAAGGATGCAGTAGACGCCCAACTTCGAGATCAACAAGCTGGATTCCGTAAGGATCGGTCGTGCACAGACCAAATTGCAATACTACGGATCATCGTCGAACAATCAGTTGAGTGGAACTCATCACTATACATCAACTTCATTGATTATGAAAAGGCATTCGACAGTGTAGATAGGAGGACATTATGGAAACTTCTTCGACACTACGGAGTTCCTGAGAAG